GTCCCAGAGCATGACAGTCCCTGTGGCCAGTGGCCCACGCAGGGGAGCACGGATGCAGGACGTGCTGTCAGGGTGCAGAGTTGGGTGGACAGTCCCGACCTGCGGGGCCCAGGGGAGGGGCTCAGCGGCCATTCCCGCTGGAGCTCTCCTCCCCACACGTGGGCTGTGGGCAGCTGCTTAGTGTCCCCAGAGAGCGTAGGTGAGACCTCCACCTCTCACGCTGCCGACGCACCAGAGCTCGGCTGCCCAGGCCCATGGCGCCTCACCCCTGGACCTACGCCAGCTGCCAGACGGGGGCCTCTGCGCTCTCTGCCCAGCCTGCGGCTCCCTGGCCTGCCTGCTCTCCCGCTCGCTGCCCCGTCTCCCCAGCGCCTCTCTCTGCCTGGACCTCATGGTTGGCCAGTTCCACACGTCTCCCTCCTGCCACCTTTGCCCTTGGGTCCTCTCACGGTTTCTCAGCCCTGTGCCACTCCAGCCAGGTCTGGACTTCCCAGACTGCAGCGGGGGCTCTGAGAAAAGCTCGCAGTGTTCCCTCCGCTGTGAGCACAGGCTGGCAGCCCTCAGCAGGCCTCGCCGTGGCCTGCTCCTTGTGATCCGTCTCTGGTGGAGGCCCCTATAGCCAAGGCCAGGGCTCTGGACCTTCTCCACATGCTCAAACCTGTCCCCACCCCTGCGGCCCACAGATGACTCCTGGGAAGCCCACCGTGGCCAAGGGGAGCTCCCTTCAGCTCGGCCCCTACCTGGGTCCTCCTTCCCTCCAGTCCCCATGACGGGGTCCCCACCAGCCTTGCTCTCCCCCTGCCTAAAGACACTTTCAGGCTCTCCCGAGGGCACCTGTGAAGCTGCGTGGGTCTGCTCAGCACTGCGCTTCACCCTAACACGGCCTAGTGCTTCGGTCCCGCCCTGGCCCGCATGCTCTCTCACCTCTCGCAGGCAGTGCGAGGCCCTGAGGCCTAAGCTAACGATCCTCTGTACCCCCAGGAGCATCGTTCATCCTTCCTTTCTCCCATCTGTTGTGACGGGGGGCTGGGAGGCCCCTCTTCCTCGCTAAGCCCCCCTCCAATGCCAGGCCTCAGGCTGCCTTCAACCTCCTCTGACACAAGGTGTTCAGTAATTTCTTTTTCATTTTTAAAAGATTTTTTAAAAGAGAATTATCTTATTTAACTTTGTTTGTTTAGTCATTTATTCTAACTTGACTAGAGAGGAACAGTGAGAGCGAGAGAGAGAGAGGGAACATGAGAAAGCAAGCTGCTTGGTCCGGGACTCGGACTGCAGTCGGCCACGTGGGAGTCCCGCGCCCTTAACCAGCACGCCACCTGCTGGCCCCGGTGCTCGGTAATCTCTAAAGAGGGATGGCGTAATAACCTCAGGGCGTTAACAGCATCAGTGCGGGGGAGTCCGGTCGGCGCTGGGAATGACCAGTGAGAGACGCGTATGGGCCATATTCCGCTTTTCCTTCTCACAGTGACACAACACGCAGAAAACTGTCCAAAACCCTGACTTCAACGCAGTATTATCTCCCCCAAATTAAGAAAAGGGTTGCTGGGGCCAGCATGTGGAGTGGTGGTTAAGGTGCTGGACTCCCACATGGCTGACCGCGGCTTGGGCCCTGGACCCAGTGGCTTGAAAATCACACCGGGCGCGTGTGTGCGCGTGCCCAAAATCCCAAGAGAAGAATGGAGGAGAAGGAACTGTGGCGTGGCCTGGGGGTGATCTCTCACTTTCCCCTCCTCTCTCTCTGGCAAGCACACGGGCCCTAGGGCAAAACCAAACCCCTAAAAATCCCAAACAGGGCAAGGGGGTGAAGTCCCCTCCACCTTCCCTGCCTCGCGCCTTCCCGGCCTGCACCCTGGCGCTGTACTGCAGGTTCCCCGTCGGACCCCGCGGGGACAGCAGAGTGGCTGTGCATTGTTCGTGCCTTGTTCCTGTTGCACGCCCTGTAGGAGAGCTCCGCTCCCTTTACGGCTGCTGGGCATGTAGGGCTCACTGAAGGACGCTGCTGGGACGTGCTGGCCCGGGCTCGGGTCCACCTGCGACTGGAGAGGCTGAAGGCCCAGTGCACAGCGGCGTCCCTCCGCGTCTTTGCGTCACAGATGCAGCTCCACGTCGACTGTGCTCCGCAAACAGGTGAGTGCGGTAGCAAAGGACATTGTGAAAGTGCGACAGAGAGCATGGTCGTGTGGACGTTCCGACCGTGGGCATTCCACTCCAGTCTGCCACATGGGCAGAGCACGGACCTCCCCCTGAACACGTCTGACCAGCTAGAGTAGCTGCGACGCTGCGGAGAGGCAGGCAGCCCCCGGGGCAGCGGGGAGCCTCCTGGCAGAGTGAAGCCGAGGTGGCCGCCCAGAGCTGGCACAGGGGCGGCTGCAAGCCCGGCTGCTTCTGGCCCTGCGTCCACTGGGAGACGGGACAGAAACCGGACACAGAGGCTGTGAGGACGGCCTTCGAGTAGGAGAAACGACGTGAGAGGCTGGGGCAGGCAGCCTGGAGTGGGGGGAGATGCTGACAGTGTGACTTCAGGAGGGCTTGAAAATGCTCTCGGCATGGGAGAAGCTCACACTTGCATCCTGTTTTCACGAGCTCTGGGCAGTCTTCTCTTGTATTTTATCAGGCATGCTGGGAGAGGCTCAGCTTCCTGGGAGTCCGAGTCAGGGCTGGAAACAGGCGCCCCGCACCACGTGCTTTTGTCACCCCCCTCCCAAGAGCCAGCGCGTGGCCGGTCCCCGGGGGCTCTGGGCTGAGGTCTCGTGGTCTGACTGGGAGACGGGACAGAAACCGGACACAGAGGCTGTGAGGACGGCCTTCGAGTAGGAGAAACGACGTGAGAGGCTGGGGCAGGCAGCCTGGAGTGGGGGGAGATGCTGACAGTGTGACTTCAGGAGGGCTTGAAAATGCTCTCGGCATGGGAGAAGCTCACACTTGCATCCTGTTTTCACGAGCTCTGGGCAGTCTTCTCTTGTATTTTATCAGGCATGCTGGGAGAGGCTCAGCTTCCTGGGAGTCCGAGTCAGGGCTGGAAACAGGCGCCCCGCACCACGTGCTTTTGTCACCCCCCTCCCAAGAGCCAGCGCGTGGCCGGTCCCCGGGGGCTCTGGGCTGAGGTCTCGTGGTCTGAAGAAACTATCTGGCGTAAACAATACGGTGGGCATGGCTTAGAAAGGCCCGCCTGGAACAAGCAGGCCGTTCGCGGCTCAGGGGGGACAGGTGCAGGGCTGAGCTTGTTTAGCGAGCATCACGGCAGCACCGCAGCTCCGGGCACCTGCGTAGCGAGGCAGCATGAGCCGGGAAAACAGGACGGCCTGCGTCCGCTGGGCTTTCTGTTGGTCTTGGCCACGTTTCTTCCTTCTCCTCAAATATTTCTGCTGGGAGCAAGCAGTCAGGACCAGCGAGGACACACGATCGGGTGGAAGAAAACAGACGAGTGCTGTGAAAATATTTTCGAGGGTCAGCCTGTACCTGGGGCGGTGCTGACTCGGCGCGTCCCCGAGGGGCTGCTGTGTCCTGCTGCGCTGCTTGGGGCTTGTGCTTGCATACCCAGGGTTGCACTCGCTCCCACCCTGCCAGGAAACACACGTGCTTGGCTGACAAGCTCAGTGGGCCATCCTCGGTACGGGACCTTGAGAAACTGCCCCCGACTTCTGAGCCGGGACCTTTTTTCTTGCCAAAGGGCATAGGAGCCCTCATGCACATACATGAAAAGGGGAGACAGGAGCACCCCCAAACGGAGCAGAGTCATGCCACAGGCCTTCTCCATTCCTCCATCCCGTCAGGATTTGAGGCGTGCAGGCCCAAAATGTTTTCCAAGCCTCTAGGACTGGAATCCAAAGTGCAGCTGGCCACGTGGGACCCGGTCCCCCACACAGGGCCTCACTGCTGTCCTACGAGGCTGGCCCAGCGTTTCACTCCTCTCACATTTGGCCTGCCAACCGCCCTGCCAATCTGACCCAGGGCTCCTGCTCTCCAGGACTGGGGAGAGGGAAGACTTCCTTTATCACGACTGCATTGCCATAGCATCGCAGGTGTGTCATGAGCGTCCCCCGCAGGGGAGTGACTGTGAGTGGAGGAGGGTAGCCGGTCTCTGCCGCGGTGTCGTGCAAACCCCTCTCCCTCGCATCAGTCAGACCCCTGCTGGCCCGGCCACAGTGACAGGCGGTCGGGCCCTGGTGCACGTGGCTGGAGGCCCCGGGGAAGGCTGGATCACACGGTACAGTCCCTTCTCCTACACTGCCCTCTTGGGAGGTGGCATGGTGGTTAAGGGCACTGGACTCCTTACAGTCGACCATGGTTCGAGTCCCGGGCCTGGTGTCTTGCTTTCTCACTTTCCGTCTTTCTCTATTGCTCTCTTGATCTGTCCCTCTCTGGCCAAATTAAAAATAAGTAAATAAATAAAGTTAAATAAAATGATTCTTTAAAAAAGGCTTTATCAAATAGGACTCCATAGTCAGTGTGCAGCAGTGTTTTCCTACAATGAACTTTCTCAGACATAAGTAAATGATTAAACATTTATTTAATATAGACTCAAAATGGAACATATAATGACAAAAAAAACACACATTCCAAACAGAAGAAACTAATACCCAAATCCTTTACATTTCACTTTTGCCAACAGGAGGTCAGAGCCGTAACTTAGCAGGGACAGGCCGTCTCTACAGCTCGGCACATGAAGTTTAGTCCAGGCCTGAACCAGCTTTCTTAGAAATCCCAAATACACAGGCTGGAAAGACTTTATATCTCAGAGGAATGCGATAAACCTTGAAGCTGGGAAACTAGTAAAAAAAAATAAAATAGTATGTTTCTAACGGTATGGGTTTAAAAGCAAGCAAGCAAAGAAAAGCATCAAAAGCAGACGTTACGGTCTGTTGGCCTGTGCAGGCAGCTCCGCGTTGTCCATGTCAGAGAGCGTCACGCTGTTTACTTAGTGGCGGGCAGCTAGGCTTATGCTGCAGAAATATTTTCTTTCTGAGGGAGAGGGAGTGGGGTACTGACAGGGTCTGTCCCGCCTCACATTAGCCGGGCATGCACCACCCACGTGGCCCCGGCCTCACGCAGCGGTGCCCCAGCCACGGCGTCGCATGCCCAGACTCAGAAATACTCCCGAGTTTATTACTGACAAGCGGGAGATGCTGTACAGAGTATTCCCAAACTGCCTCTGAAACAAGATTCAAATTCCACCTGGCAACACAGGCCTCTCCCCACGCCCAGCATCACCCTGAGAAAGGTGTGGTCTGAGAAAACATGAAATGGTTTCTGAAGGCCGCATTTCTGCTTCTGAGTTTTAGAGAACATCCCGGATCACGAGTGGAGGGGCTCGCCGGAGAGAACACCAAGTCTGTGCTAAGGAACTGCGGGGAGACAGAAGCCGTCCACGCACGCTCTGAGGACGGGACCTCGCGAGTGACCCCACCGCAGTGAGGAATGACAGTGCTGGCAGGCTCTCGGTTTTTGTTGCCTCCCTCCCCTGACCCATCACCTTCAGACAGTCTCTCTTCCGTAAAGAATTCTCAGTGCGTTCAAACTAGGACTCGGGCCTCGAGAGTGGTCTCGGAGCCACGAGGCTTCTCCCTTCTCAACTGGACAAGTGAGGACAGGAACTCCGGTTCTAAATGTTAGAAGCAGAGTCTAAATAGCAGGAAATAAGAAGGGCCCTGACAAAGCGCTTCACATCCATGTCTGGGGAGGGCGTGCTCCAGGCCTTGGCAGCTCCCAGGAGGGGTCTTCCGTCTTCAGTCCTCGGATTCGTACCTGGAGGTGAAAGTTCAGAGCAGAATGTCACGGCACGTGCTGTGGCCTCCCCGAAGCCCCTCGGCGACCACGCCAGCAGCGCCTCACCTTCCACCTGCAGTTCCTGCTGCGGTTCGCGCTGCTGGCGGGCATGGAAACTAGTCCAGCTGTCACGGAAACAGGGCGGCTCTTCCTCGGAAACACGCAAACTAGAACCGCCGTGTAACCCGCAGTCCCACTACTTGGTGTGCGCTCAAAGGAAGGGAACCCCGCATGCCACGCAGATCTGCACCCGTGTTTACGGCAGCATGTTCACGCCAGCCAAGGTACGGAGCAACCGAGTGCCACTAACGAACAGCCGGATAAAGAAAAGGTGGCCTCTGGCCAGTGGAACACCCAGCAGCCACTGAAAAGGAAATCCTACGTTCGATGTCAGATGGGCAAGCCCACAGGATGTTACATGAAGTGACGTCAGCCAGGCCAGAGAGAAATCCCACGTGTTCTCACTGACGTGACCTCAGAGGAGAGAGACGGAATATGGCTACGAGGGCTGCAGGTGGGAGGGACAGAGGGATGCTGTGTGGTGTAAGCAAAACCGAGACAGGGCAGAGGGTGGTTCCCGAGGTTGTAAACCAGAGGGTGGACACGGCTCGTGACGATGCGTGTGCATCTCCGAGTGGCTGAGAGGGTTCTGCACGTTCCCGGCACAGCCATGACACAAGCTCGAGGCTGCGGGCACACTGGCCTCACCGCGTTCTCGTGCAGGAAGTCGCGCTGTGCCCCACGAGCACGAGCAACCAGCATGTGCTAACGGAAAAATTAATATGCAGATCTGCTGCTTTAGTAGAAGGCAGAACCACTGAGGCAGCACGACAGTGACTCAGGGGGGACGTCTACAGAAGGTGGGACGGCCCAGGTGCTGTGAGACGTCAGGTGCACGCGCAGCCGGAGTCTGTGCGGGCCTTGAGCAGCTACTGCGACCGCGGGAGCAGCAAGAACGGCCGGGACGGCGACGTGAGTAAAGGGTCAACGAGCCCCTCCACGGACAAACGTGAGCTTGGACTCACTTTCTACCTCTACCTCCTGGAACTCTGATGAAGGCAAAAGGCCGGATGAGTCTCCAGGCAAAGCCTCTGATGACAAAAGGGACCCAACTGGCGGTGACCTCTGGCCCCAAGGACTGTGGCAAACTCTAACCATGCGATGGAGCCACAGCCTCCGGTTCTGGTGCACAGGGAGTTCGTGACCCACACGTCCTGGCTGGCCATCACGTGACTGCTCCCAGAGGTGTGGGTCCTAGTACAGCACAGCCTGGGCCAAGCCGGTCGCGCACTGTCTGCGGGGATCTGGCCGAACACGCGAAGGCTCGGGAAGACCAGCTCTCGGGCTGTGGCGAGGACACCACCGTGGCTGGCTGAGGGCGCCCCAAGTCGCGGTTGCAGTCGGGTGCATGACTTAAGGCCCAGCTGAACCTAAAACGGAGCCCTGGCAGGCCCAGCAGGTGGTGTAGTGAGTCGGGCACTGGACTTGCACGTGGCCAACCCCAGTCTGAGTCCAGGACCCGATAGCTGGAAACTCATGCTGGGTGCACGTGCGAGTGTGCCCACAACTGCAAGGAGAATGGAGGGACTGTGGCGTGACCACCAGGGGGGCGATTTCTCGTTTTCTCCCTGTCTCTCCCTGTCTTCAGGAAGCGCACACATGCCCTGTAGCAAAAAATCTCCCTGAAAATAAAAAGGAGCCCTGGTGGGTAAGACAGACGAGGCCAGGCTGAAGGCCCTGGGATGAGGACTGAGCTTCCACCCAGTGACCTGAGTCCTCTGGACACGAGCCCGGACTCCACAGAGCGGGGAGAGGACCCGCAGGGATCCGCTTACTTCGCCAGTCTTTTCCGCAGGTCTCTGATTTGGTCATTCTTCCTGGTAAGAATCTCTTTCATGTTCCGATAAGCTGCCGTTTGTTGAAATTTCTTCTCTAATTCCTGTGTAGTGAAAAACGTCAGCCCATTAATAAGACAAAAGGAAAGAAATAACAAATGTGATGAAAACGTTAGTATTTGCTCTATTTTTATTACTGTTTTGCTTACCTTACCTTCTAATTTCCTTTAAAAATATACTCACATAAAATTAAGACCATCTGAATGTCAAAAACATTCTTTCAAATGAGAAGCCAATCGAACAGTAACATTTCCCAGACACAATAGTAGCAAATTACTCCAGTAAGCTAAGACTGGACGTGGGACAGCTATGTGAAAGATTAAACTGGGCCAGCAGGTGGCATAGTGGTTACGGAGCTGGATTCCCGCACGACTAAATGTGCTTCAAATCTTGAACCTGGTGGCTTGAAGTCCATGCAGGGTGCACGTGCATGTCCACACCCTGAGAGGAGAACGGGGAAGGGCCTGCGGCGTGGCCCCCAGGGCTGACTTCTCCCTTTCTGTCTCTCGGGTTCTCTCTGTGTCTCCATTGAGTGCACACGCCCTATAGCAAAAATCTCTTAAGAAAAAAAGAAATACTAATTTTCATATAAAATGACCATGATCTTTTTCCAAATCCCAAAGTACTGGCAGTACTTCAGGAAGATCATTTTAAGTTTACTTGCGTTTTAGCTCCCACATTGCTAGACGTCTGATCTCTACAGCACAGACTCTCGTCACTCTATTTCCGACGTGTGTTCGCCATGCTGTCCCTCTCTGCTACACGGGCATGCAGACACCAGGTAAAACCTGCACAGCGCTCCCCAGCCACAGACACGTCTGGGACACAGCTCTGACCTTCTCAGCCAAGCTCAGCTGCTCCTGGACCCTGAGAAGGTCGTGCTTTGCTGTGGCCAGACTCTCCTCCAGGGACTTCTGGCTCTCGGTCTTGTCATTAAGTGTCTTCTGAAACTCACTCTTCAAAGCAGCAACAGTGTCTTCCAAGTCACTCAGGTCCTGGGCCTTTAGGGACACCTGCAACAACAAGTGACATGTGAGCACGGCCCTCCCTCCCAGCAGTTTCGCTTTCTGTGGTTTCAGTTATTCATGGTCAACCACGGGCTGAAAATAGGTGCGCACGGAGCGATCAGATACTCTGAGAGACAGGCAGAGACCGCGTTCACAGAACTTTCATCGTCACACGGTCTGAACCGTCCGCTTTGTGATTAGTCGTCGCTCTCTCACTGCCTACTTCAGAAGCCGAGCCTGGCGTAGCAGGGACGCACAGGGACGCGCCGAGGACAGACGGGGCACAGCACGGTGAGCAGCTGACATGGCCCTGGCCGGCAGCGGGACCACTGTAATGTGCTGATACCTCCACGGTACTGCTGAGATGGGATCCGCCCTCAGGAGAGACGGCGGGGAGACGCCGTGTGCTGCACGTGCACGCCAGCCTCCCCGCCAGCCTGGCCAGCACTCCCGCCCCGCGGGCCACCAGCAGGCCTAGGCCGCTCTCAGCCCCACACGGTCACCACCGCATGGAAATACCAAACACGATGCATAGACCGCTGGGGCTCCGCCCAGGGCAGAGGCAGTGAGAGGAGATCCCAGCGTGTGCACCAGAGCTGGGGTGTGGGGTGGCACGTGGGGCTTATTTTGAAAAGCTAGGTTAAGAAAATCCTGGGACGAATTCTGAATTCTTTGAAATGGTATTAATGAGGGAAAAAAATTATGCAGCTTACGTCAGAAACTGAACAGGTGTATGTGGTGGTCATTATTTTCAAGAAGCCACTATGGGAGAAGGAGCAGTTCCTGGTCACCTGGTTTCCTGAACTGACGAGATTATAAATTCTGATGCTAACGGGCGTGTACACCCTCGCGCACCATGGGCGGCCAGACCCCCGTGTGGAGCTCATCTCTGACGGAGTGAAACCCATGAGACAGAAAGGACCCACACTCGTGCTACAGGAAGATGGTCCCCAACTGCTCTGGGAGGAGCTGCAATTTTCCACAAAGGAAAACAGCCCTTGCGTGTTTCTAAAATGGAGCCTTTGGAGCCTTTACTCGCTGTAACTAGTGAAGACATGTATCGGTTTTGCTTTCGTGGCCGAATCTTGAAGTGAAATGACGGCCAAGCCCCGGATGGCCTTTTAACGAATCCACATCTGAAGACACGTGCACTTGTCTGACTCCCGAGCTGTCAGAAGCTGTTCGGGAACGCTCGCCTTTCACGGATCTAGTCTGCGGTGAACGTCGTGTGCGTTTCCGTTTTTCCAGCCAGTGAAGAAGTATCCCATCTAAAACTGTCTACGGGTGGAAAGGCAGGATGCCGGAGACGGGCCTCACAACACAAGCGAGAAAGGAAGGAGCACGTGCAGGGGACAGGCTGGCCAGGGGCTGGGGCAGTGCAGGGCAGCACGTGGCTCCCCTCCCGGCCTAAGTGTCTTGGCCTCTTCACAGAAAAAAGCTTGAGCAGCCTGGTGGGGTGGACGTGGGGACTGCCGAGCAGACATTTACAGCGGCCACACCCCTAGGAAAGCACACCGAGAGGGCCCGCTCCGAGTGTGGCCAGTGCTGCACACTCAGCGGCTCCCAGCGGCCGGCGG